CTGGAAGCAAACAAGGGAGGGGAAAAGAGCCATATGGCTTTTACAAACATCTACCTATATCAGATCTGGAAGCAGAACCTAGCTCTGGCCTGGCATATATTTCACAGTCAATGAAATCCCTCTTTAACAACTTTATCAACATTAGAAACAAAGCAATTTAGAAATAGTTTTCTACTTACTGGACCACAAATCCTGAGAAATCAGGCAGAAAAACAGCACTCAAAAGTTGAACTGGCACAGGAGTTGCTGAGTCTTTGTGATGAAGATGAATTTGAAGGTGGCAGCATATCAAGGAGAAAACACACCCACACACCCATCTATCCATCAAAGCAAAACAAAAAACAGATGGGACTTTTAAAACAAAGAAAACTCCTACATCATGCACAAAAGCAAAGGGTGGCTTCACCATCACATGATGGCATGGGTGATGAAACTGCAGCTGACCTTGAGACCACAAATTCATAGGAGGAAGAAGGGTGGAGAGGAAAAAAAAAAAAAAAAAATCTATCCAGAAATCTTAAGGTTATGAGCTCTCCCTGACTCACCCGCTCCTGGCATCATGCTTTGGTGGGCTTACCAAGGTATACTGTTTGCATTTGTATATAATTCTTCTTCTGATGGTCCATAACTGACTACCCTTCAAAGACTGTGGAAGACACGAAACCTTCACTCCAGTCCAGTAAGGTCAGACCTTAGGATGGCCAGGTTTGAAATTACTCTGACAATCAGGAGAAATGGTATATAACTTAAAGCCCAAGAAAACAAGAATTTAACAATTCAAAAGATAAGCCATTATTTCTGCCATACCAGCAACTGCAAACCGACATCTGATAATACTAACTTCCTTTTGAAAAGTTAGACAACTAACAAAACAACCATTTAATATATTATACATATAAAAAAAGGGCAGGGAGGGGGGGACGGGGATGGTGGTGATAGTGTTCTTTTTTTTTTTCCCTAGAACGTTATACGTGGTTTTGGTATCTTAATTTTAGACACATTTCACTCCTTTTCCTATGAATATACAGTTGGGGGGTGGTGGTGGTGTTTGTTTTAAACAAAACAGCATCAATTGTTTTCTATTTCAAACTGTCTTACAGACTAATACTTCCGAAAATGAAGGAACAGCCCTTGATCAAAGATGATGCCATTCCAGTCACAGCACACTTACAAAAGCAATGCAACCTCAGCACGTGAGCACACTGCAGGCAAAGCTTCATTTTTACATACAGGTAATCAGAGAATTAACAAACTAAGTAGCTAATGGATACTTTGTAAATGAGAATCTATTGCTAAATACCTACAAGAAGTGACAGGTTAGAAAGTATTGCATGATGTATGTTTCTAATTCTTTATTAAATCAATAGTGTCAATCTCTTATTGAGACTGATAATGTTTACAAAAATACTGCAGCAGATTCTGGACTGCACAAAAACATGTGTAACCCTCACTCCACTTGAAAATGCAGGACATTTCCAGACATTTTGCATACTATACTGATATCTGCAAAGATCTTGTCAGGAAACTATTGCTGTTTTTAAAACCACGGCTCCTGGAAACAAGAGTAAATTTTCACTCACCTCAAAATGTGAGAGTAAAAATTTAATTAAGGCATTTTATATTACTCACCAAGCAATCTGATGACTTAAAATAATCAGAGACACCAATGCAAGTAATAGCAACCTACCAAATGTATTTTGAAGCAGAACACAGCCATGATACTAAAGATGGTGTCATTATTACTGCTCATAAAACAGAGATGAAGAAAGTGTGCAGATTTATTTTACAGTGCTAAAAATCAAAAACAAGGTCTCAAAATTCATCCAGTTAGTACCATATTATTACAAATTCACATTGCGTCCAGCAACTTGACAGCTCGACGCTAACCTGAATTACAGCAGCAGTACTTACTAGGAGGAAAAAATGAATTTGCCAGAAAGATTAGTTAAGCTTTAGACATTTAACGAAATTTGAAACATATTTAAGGTCAGCATCCAAGAACACTGTTGGTATTTTTCATCAGTGAAAGCTTCCAGTTTGAGAAAGGTTGCAAACAAAGTCCTCAACAGATGACTGAGATGAGGTGTTTTGTCCAGAGCCACATGCAGGAAGAGAAAGCATTATTTTTCTTGCAGGACTTTTTCAGGATGTGGTAATCTGCAATGCCATGAGATATGGCAGCCTGTTCAAACACAGCTCACTGAGCTAATACCCAACTTTATGGAAATATTTTGATCCATTTTAGTTTTCCTTTCTGTATATAAACAAATTCAGATATTTACTAAATAAAAGGGTCATACTGAAGTCACCTCCCTAATGGTAAGAATCAAGCACATGAACAAGTGCCTAGAACATTTACATGTCCAAATACTTCTATTGCTACAATTATGCAAAGTTTCCACATTCAGCCTCTAATTCTGCCAAAGGAATGAGTCAGTGCATCCTTTAAATACAGATCAGAAACCAAATAGCACATTTTCCTTTTCACTTAATTGCTGACAGCCACTGAAGATGTATCTGTTATGCTGGAGGTATGACGGACCTCTACTCCAAGGCAAAATAGGAAACAGCCTCTGAAGAGCCATCCTTGAAGCCCTTTGCACAGGATTTACGTATACAATCAACTTGGAAATGCAGAAGCAAATGATGCTTCACTGTAGATGGAATTTTTTGGTTCCTCCACCTCATCTGGCACATGATCAAAAAAGCAGTCAAGTGTAACATATTCCTCCTCCATAAGGAAGAAGGATGTATCCTTTAACAAACATGATGTCTTAAAATCAGTCTCGCTGAACTGACAAACAGAAATCCTCCATTCATCTCCAACAGCCAGGCCTTCTTCAAATCATGAATCATCACAGGGTGACTGACTCACAGAAAAATATTTGTTGAAAGGTGGATTTACTCATCCTTTTTTCTGCTATTTACAAAATTTAATTGCCTTTAAACAAAGCTTAATTTATTTGTAGCTTGACTCAAATGTTGCAATAAAGTTCATAACAGGCATCTGTCACAGTAATTATGATCAGTTGACTTAGTATTAAGGTAGGATCATATAAAAAAGGAGACATGCAAAGCTGATATAGCAGTAAAAGTCATACGCTGGGGCTGACAGTTATCCTGACCTATATTCCTACTTTCATTTCAGCATCAATACTCCTCCCTAACCATTTCACCCATTTCAGAAAAAGAGCTGCAGAGCTAACACAGGCAAGTATTTCACTGGGATGTTGATGCTGAAATATCCACCAGTTTTAATCAGTATCTTCAGTGATCAGAACCTCGGTCTCCACAGAAATCCATACACTAGAGAAACAGGGCCCTACGTCCCAACATAGGGAAAGGCCCTTAACTCAGAGTACAACAGTAAAAAACAGGTTTTCAATTGCTCCTTAACTTACAGATATGTAAACCGTAAGTGCTTTTTTACAAGCCATATTAAAAAAAAATAAAAGTGACAGAAGCCTAATTCCTCAAGAAAAATTTAAAAATGATACACTAAGTTTAACTCCTCAACTTCGAGCCAGTCTGGCTTTCTCCTCCCTGTTTTTGGGGCAGTTAAGTTCTTAGTTCTGAAGGTGAGCCTGCAAAAAGAAGTAACCCTGCAGCAAATGAGGGTATAAATGTTTATAGTGCACCTGATAGCCTGTGGTAATCACTTACACCAACCTTTCACCCCCTCCCCAGAAAACACAGCAAACTATGCCTCACTTTATGGGGTAAGCTCTGGAACACTCATTTTAAGGTGTGAGCATGGCTTCAAGAGCTACCAGCTCACCCTCATTTGCTTTGGGGCAACTTGTTCACACAGCCATTCCCTTCTGGGTGATGAAGGAAATTTTATGAGACTTACTGCATTTCAGACATTTCTGGACAATTATCTTCATTTTTCCTTTTTCTGCCACACTGCAGAGCTCTAAAATACTTTCCAACTTTCAGCAACAAGTGAACCTACGTTAAGTGCAGTTGCTCTAAAAGATCACCAGTACTTGTATGCAATTAATTCCTTTAAAACCAGCTTCATTTCCAGAACAAGGTGGCTCATCAAATGTATAAGGCCTACGTAAGTGACACTATGTTTGGTGCCTTAAAGAAGTCAAGTCTCAGCCAGCTACTTTTTACAGTCCAAAACCTGCCCAAATTTAGTGTTAGCAACAATGCTATTTCAGGCAGGAGGCTGGACTGGAGACCTCCAGAGGCCCCTTCCAACCAGAGCTGCTAGGAAAACTCTCAGCACCTGGACAGGACCGAGATGTTCATAGTCATAGCAGAGCTTGACCTGAATGCCCTAGCCCAAACCTTTAACACAAGAAATTGATGGTGTCAAGTGAAAGGACACACCAGATTACTTGGAGAACAACTGCTCCATCTCCCAGAGCACCTTAAAGGAAGAGTGGCTACTTCCCACTCCCTCATTTTTTTTTCTTTTTTTTTACTTCTTTTTAAAGATAATTTACTTACCCTGGAGGCTAACTTGCTATGTGGGACGGGTCGGTGATGACTTTAAGACTTTCAACTCCTGGACCCTTTTCAGGCAGATAATGCATGCAAGAACACTGCAACTCCTCCTGCTTTAAATGCCCAAGAAAGACATTCCTATGGTGCTGTCCAGGCAGAAGTTGGGCAGCTGTGGAGGACGGCTATGTATCCTCTCCCTCCTAGAAGCTCAGGAGAAGGAGCAAAAAAGCTCACAGGTTTGAATTATTTCATGCCTGCCACAGGAAAACAGTAGCTAGCAGAACAGGCAGCACAAAGCAATACTGAATTAGTCCAACCACCTTCAGCTCTGATAAAACAGAAGTTGCCCCAGCTCTTAAATCCATCTACGGCACATTTGTAAGAGGAATGACCAATGAAATTACTTATTTGTACATATAAACATACAGGCACGCTTCATCTTGTGTCCCTTATTTGTTACAAATGCTCAGCAACATCCCTGTTACAGCACGTGTTTTTGTAATTCTGCTTATGTAATAAACAGTGTATTGAGCTGAGAAAAACCATCAAATCTGCAAGTTTAGAAAGTCAACACAGCAGCAAATCATCAAAAATCCTTGTTCACAACATCTGTCAAACAGAACCAAGATCAATCTGCGGAACACCCACTCTGTTTCATTCCTTCAAAGTTCGTCAACAGCAGTAATATTAACTTTAGGTAATTCACACTCTTCTTTGAAGTGGCAGTTTTCCAGGATGTCCTTATAATAGTCCTTGAGGTCCAGGTAAGTAGAGATGGTTTCATTTGAGTGATGAAACGACATTAGTTTTTCATTCAACAGCATCTGCACTTGATACTCTTCTTTAGAGGTTTTCACTTGATCACAGTGGTAAAGCACAAATACCAGGTTGGCTGCGTAAGGCACAATCTGGCCACTGCGAAATTTCCGATGCGTTTGTCTGATGTAATTGTTTGCCCTGAGAGGCTCATCATCTTTGAAGAAACCCATAAGAGCAAGTAGTGGCTGAAGTGTCTCTGCATGTCCAACTTGTACAATCAAAGGTGAAGAAATGGGTTTTGAACTAGAAAAGAAAAAAGTGCAAAGGATGAGCAAGAGCTGGGCTTTAAAACAAACATACCAACATACTGCATGGCTGTCAGCAACAAGGCTTAAAGAAGTAGACTTTGAACTTGTTTTACTCCTATGCCCAATAAAAACCTGTTTGGGAATTTCAGTATATTACAGACTTTTTTTAAAGCATCCAAGCTTCCTATACTTTGTCCCAATTTAAGGTATTGGCTTTTACATAAAACGTAAGAAGTTGTACTAAACATAGTTAGGCTACAGCTAGAGCCTAATATAAATACAGTAAACAAAAGCAAGAAACAGATCAATGTTGTGCGTCCATATACTCAGTACATCTCTCCAACTCACCGTGTTATTTATGACTCTTTCCGTCATTTTAAAATTGTAAAGCTTTTGGATCCTTTGCCCTCTTCCCTTCCCCCTCCATTCTTTGTTCCCTCCTCTGACTCATTTTGACTAGTTCATTTATATCCTCCCTTCCACACACACCTTCAGGGAAGTATTTTTAGGTTTTAGGACACATTCACATCCCTCCTGTCAGTCAACAAATAGGAACAGCAGCAAAAAACACATGCCTATAGAAGACAGAAGGCTATTCCTTTGATCTCCTGCAATTTCCAGCTCAGAGATCTCCTTGGCCAGATGTGGCTTCTATGTAATGTAGGACCTCTCAATGAATCTTTCCTTTGTCAAATCTCTCCTTAAATCCACATACATTTTTAGCATGCACAACATCCTGTGGCCAGGAGTTGCACAGCTTCACACACTACTCTTAATTTTTTCTATTTGTAGATGCTATGTAACATTTAATCCTTTCTACTTACAAATTTGCGATAATATTATTTCCAAGTTGAGAAATCCTACCTTAATCATTCCACAATTTTTCCAAATGAGCTATATCCTTTTAGATCAGAGTATGAGAAATGCACAATACTCAAGACAGTAAACTACATCCTAAATCCATGCTGCACCCATGATGCTCTTTGATTTCTTAATTCATGACGTCTAACACGTTTTCTAGTTACAGAAGTTCGAGATACTTCCAGACAACTCTAATGACCACAAAACTAAACTCCTAAAGGTCCTTTTACAATCCTCCTAGTAGAAACAATTTATCTTATTTACCTTGAATAAAAGTGCTGCATTTGCAACGCCATGTAACTTCTCACATCTTTCTCCCAGTCACTTACAACACACTGAGCAGCCCAGATCCTTGCAGATCTATCTCCACTAGGGACCTGCCTCTGCTAGGAAAATCAGTCAGCTATCCCTACGCCCCATTTCTTTCATTTTTATTCATTTTTTACCCATGTAAGGACCTTCCCCCTTAACCCCAGCTGCTTGATTTCTTTTGATAAGGAAACCTGTTGAAAGATGTTTGGAAATCATGACTGTCTCTCCCAGATCACCCCATTTGTATGCTTGCTGATGCTTCCCAAGAGCTCCACGAGATGTTTTCCTTTCCATACCGACACTACTCAGTCAGCCATACTGACACTACTCTGGTATACCACATTCATCAAGATACTTATCAATGCTAGTCTCAATCATTATTTCTACTAGACTGGCCTGTAATTCCGATTCTCTCCTGGAGCTGCTTTTTTCTTTTTTCCTTTATTTAATTATTTGGTTTTAAATCATCACAACAGCTCCCACAAGCTTCTTGGCTGAAACCAACATGCACTGGCTGTGATTTCAGCTATTTCATTCAAGTTCTTTTCGCACTCTTGGGAGAGTATCACCCAGCTCTAGCAACTCAGCACATTTTTATTTTGTCCCAGCTGCACGCTGGGACATGCCTGCTTCCAAACACGGTGGTCTGTATTTTACAGTTTACTAAGCAATGAAGCTAGTAATGTAAATATGCTGCTAAAGTCTCCAAAACAAGTGTTACATAGGCATTATTCATTCCACAGGAAGTGGATTTCACATCCCCCCCCCCCCCAAAAAAAAAGATTTTAGAGCTGCTATGAAAAAAAAAAAAAATTAACATTCTGGCTATCAGCACTGGCTTTAAGCAAGGTTTGGCTTTACTTTCCAGCTGGCCAGCTAGCAGGAATTTTGAAATGGAAGCAAATCACAAAAAATATGGTTAACTTCTTAGCTACAAAACCAGCAAGACATACATTTCCAAAACAGGAAACAAATTATAGCATATATGCATACACAAACAAAGAAGTTTTAAAGAACAAGTAAAGAAAATCTCATGGAGACAAAAGAAGGAATAAACAGGTGCTCATTCTCACTGTAACTTGAGTTTTTATTTCACCTGCTTTAGTCTCATGAAATCCTCATCCTAACCGGCCAAACTACCTTGGGAGACAAACCAAACCTCTCCCACTCACAGCTATCCCACTGTATTATTTTAACAAGGATTAAAACTGTTTCCTTATACAATACAAGCCTGAGTTTTCAATAGCCTCTAACACAGTATACTTGGTTTCTCACCAGCTTACTTAGAAATATCTGATTTCTAAGACTACTCAAGCACTCCCTGTTCAGTGTCTGGGGTCATGACTCCAGTTTAGATATAGTTTCATATCATCTAATAATGACAATAAAAATCACCATCAAGGTTAAAACAGCAACAGTAATATTTTTAATTACGGGGAAATCATGAGAGATTGCCTCTTCAGAGCATGTACACAGGCAAAGGTTACTACTGCCCCTACATTTCTGATAAACACAGGAGCGCAAAGCACAATCAACAAAACACTGATAAATTCAAAACAGTAGCACAGGCTAATAAAATAATAAATGGAAGGCCTGAGGTTTCCACACTCAATATTCTTTATGATCGATTAATGACTCAGCATTACATGGAAGCATCAGGCAAAATTCTCAACATCGTACTCTGGCAACTGCTAACGATATTTCAATTCACTTTTTTCCTCCCTTCTATTTAGTAGTAAACAACTTGGGAAAGCACACTGATCAGTAGGAAAAAAAAAAATCTCATTTCCAACTTTAAAGGGAGGTGAAGAGACTGCGCATAAAACTTTGCCATAAAATATTAAGAGCTTGTCTCAAAGTGATTGCTGGTGATTGGTTTCATATTCATTTTATGGGGCACTTCCAAATGAGCAGAAGCGGCTGCCACTAGGCAGAACACAAGCAGGGTTCATTGAAGAGATGTGTCAACTTCAGCTACTGAACCACCCACGCTGTAACCTTCTAAGTAAATTTGACCACAGCTGAAAATGAAGAAGTTACTGAACAATTCATCAGCACAACCCTGAAAGCTAAGTCTCAAAATGGAATAAAAGGCACTGTGGAGAAGCACAGACGCAGGATTTATTATTCAGACAAATTCTATTTCTCTTTAATCTCAGCAGATTCGGGTTTAATCCCAAATCTTCTGCATCAGCTCACCCATCCTCAACAGTAGATCGTTCCTACTCTTCCTACACTGTCCCGCATGACATCCTTGTCTCTAAATTGGAGAGACATGGATCCAACAGATGGACCTCTCAGTGGATAAGGAATGGCTGGACGGTTGCACTCAAGAGTTGCAGCCAATGGCTCGATGTCCAAGTGGTAATCAGTGACAAGTGGCGTTCCTCAGGGGGCGGTATTGGGACTAGCACTGTTTAACATCTTTGTTGGCAACATGGACAGTGGGACTGAGTGCACCCTCAGCAAGTTTGCCGACAGCACTAAGCTGCGTGGTGCGGTCGACATGCTGGCAGATAGGGATGCCATTCAGAGGGACCCTGACAGGCTGGAAAGATGGGCCCATGCAAACCTCATGAAGTTCAACAAGGCCAAGTGCAAGGTCCTGCACATGGATCAGGGCAATCCCAAGCACAAATACAGGCTGGGCAAAGAATGGATTGAGAGCAGCCCTGAGGAGAAGGACTTGGGGGTATTGGTTGATGAGAAGCTCAACATGACACAGCAATGTGCACTTACAGCCCAGAAAGCCAACCGTATCCTGGGCTGCATCAAAAGAAGCGTGGCCAGCAGGTCAAGGGAGGTGATTCTCCCCTTCTACTCTGCTCTCCTGAGACCCCACCTGGAGTGCTGCGTTCAGCTCTGGGGCCACCAACATAGGAAGGACATGGACCTGTTGGACTGAGTTCAGAGGAGGGCCACAAAAATGATCAGAGAGCTGGAGCACCTTTCCTATGAGGACAGGCTGAGAGAGTTGGGGTTGTTCAGCCTGGAGAAGAGAAGGCTCTGGGGAGACCTTATAGCAGCCTTCCAGTACCTGAAGTAGGCCTACAAGAAAGCTGGAGAGGGATTTTTTACAAGGGCACATAGTGATAGGACAAGGGGTAATGGCTATAAACTGAAAGAGGGTAGATTTAGATTAGATATAAGGAAGAAATTCTTCACTATGAGGGTGGCGAGGCACTGGAACAGGTTGCCCAGAGAAGTTGTGGATGCCCCATCCCTGGAAGTGTTCAAGGCCAGGTTGGATGGGGCTTTGAGCAACTTCGTCTGGTGGAAGGTGTCGTTGCCCATGGCAGGGAGGTGGGAACCAGATGATCTTTAAGGTCCCTTCCAACCCAAACCATCCTATGATTCCACGATTCGTAGGACTACTGATCCATATCTAAAGTGATGTAAGAAGTTAACTTTCTTTTAACCAAAGTTTATTTCCTAAGCACCAATGTGACTTTCAGCTAGAGATAACCCAAACCCCAGGAGACAGTGGGATAAGAAGAAACATTTCCTACAGCAAAGCTTAACCAGCCAACCTTCAAACGGCATGTAAAAATCTCTCCTACAGCTTCAAAGAAGGTAAGTTTTAACAACTGTTAAGCAAGCTTAGACTACATTCTGTCCTTTTTCTCCCCAATACAAAAGCCAGGACAAAGGACTCAAACCTCTGTTTTCAGCTATGGGATGAATTCTCCATCCCTCCCACCTTCCCTTGTGATTTATTTCTGGAAAAATCAGCTGGAGGAACCCCACATCTACAAGGAAACAGCAAAGATCAGGGAATGCAGTGGCAGGACTCAGAGGGCAGCAGAAATACTTAATAGTGGT